TGTAACTTAATAGGTCCCGAAACCCTTCTTTTCTTTGCCCCCACGAAAATTCTCCCAAAGAACATTCTTCCTCTATGAGGACATTCCAACAGGAACCTGGATACTTTATACACCATACATGGCCTTAAGTCACTCCCAGAATTACCAAAACTATTTTTTGCTTCCCTCTAGGGGTATCTTTAACATATCACACAAACATCTAAAGTACAGTACTGTGAAGAGTCACAACTAATGACCTTCAGCCAATGCTGTATAAGCAAGCTTACAAATCAAAAATCCCTCTCCCTCGGCTATTCTGCAATCAATGATGCAGATACTGCCACCAAACACCCGTATATGATGTTGTGGGAAAAAGCTCTAAACATAGCGTTTTAGTCTACACTATGTCTACAAATGCTACAAAGAACAAGGTCCTACTCCAATCATCTCTCCTATTGGGAGGCTTACTACAAAATATTAATGAGGTTGTACCTGGTCCCTTCCAGGTTAGCAAAGATATAAGACACCATTGTGATAGAGATGTGGCCTTCACACAGGCTACATAAACACGTTTGTAGCGGAGCTCCAATACCTAGCAAAGGTATCCCTGCTGTTCCTTTCTCATTGCTAAATTAAGCAGTATAATAACCCAAGACACTTTCCCCCCAGCAACTAGACGACACATACATAGTTCTGGGAGTCAACTGATTTTATTTTAGCCACACATGGCTTTTATGCACTGACCCCTACATGGGGCCTCCCATATAATAATACAGGAATTTTCCTCCCAGGATCCTCTACAGAAAAATATACAATATTCTAAAACACCCCAAAAATACATTGTAATAACTTCGGAACCCCACAAAAGTAATATTACAGAATAGCTTGGATCTGAGCACACACTTTGCAGAAATATCACTCAGATCCCTTCACTGGTTTCTTTCTCTTAGAGCTACTACATGATCGCAGTGGGTGGGAAGGCAAAAAAAGAAGTGCCAATACGGAAGGTAGAGGCATGAGAGCCCTCGCCCACTGCGTCTCTCATCTGGGGGAGGTGTCACGGCAAGGGTACACAATTCATTGTTGCACTATTAAATATTGCCCTTTAATGTAATTTGTGTAGTGCAAATATGAACTGGCTGCCTGGTAGAGGTGGTATTGTCAATTTCAATAGAGGTTAATTTGATTGTATGGGAGGTCAGAGCTTGCAAACTAAATTCCTCTTTGAAGCTGGAACCCCAACAGAGCTACTCTGCAAGGTGTAAGAAGTCACACACAAGTGGCCTAGAAGTCAGGTTTCCATATAAACTAACTCTCTCATTTTAATATAAAACAAAAGAACTATCTCAAAGAGATAGAGAGTGTTACTTAACAGTGCCCGAAAGGTAAAAGCTCTCAACACTAAAAGTGGAATACCCCTTACCCACAAGAAAGAACAAATACAAAAAAAAAAGGTATAAATGTTATACCAAACAAGTGGAGCACTCAAAACAGTTGAGGGGTTTACTCACCCCTTTTTGTGCAGTGACAATCTTGAGAAACTTGAATAAACATATAAAAGGGGACAAGAAAAACAAGAAATATAGTGCAGACGATTTTTCCAAATAGACAATTGATGGTGATAAAATGGAGGGATACTGGAGGGATACTGCCTGGGACAAAGGAGTGTTTACTGCCCAAAGAGCATAAACGATCTTTTTACTGAGCCAATATTGTATAGGCTCCTGTCCATGTGAGTGGTTTAAGTCATTTTATCACCATCAATTGTCTATTTGGAAAAACCGCCTGCACTATATTTCTTGTTTTTCTTGTCCCCTTTTATATGTTTATTCAAGTTTCTCAAGATTGTCTAGAGCGCTCCACTTGTTTGGTATAACATTTATACCTTATTTTTTTGTATTAACTCTCTCATTTTGTCTTGATTCCCTCTTAGATAAGGAGTACTTTGATATAAACAAGCCTTGCGTTCCAATACCATATCCAAAATAGACATTAATACCTACTCACAGATTAATACTCAAGCCTTATTTTTATCATATTTAGAATGGGACTAGCACAATCTTATAATAATCAAGCCAAAACATGATTTGTGAACAAGGGGACCACACAAAGTTGGTTCGGTAAACGAACGAGGGGGGTAAGGACAGCCGATAGTTGGGTCCTCTATCCTGCTATAACGTTTTGGGGGATTTCCCCAAGTTAACACACTTTTGGCACCAGGTGAGGGATGCTATCTCCTTGGTCACCTCAGGGATGATACCCTTCCAACCGGAATGCTACCTCCAACACCTGTCCCCAAAATTCTAACCTTGCCCCAGAAATATGTGATTATCCATCTCCTGATGGCTGCCAAAATCAGTACAGCAAGTCACTGAAAGGGCCTCAATCCCCCTTCCTTTCAAGAAATATGGAATAGAGTAGACTCTACTTATAACTTTGAACAAATGGCTTATAGACTAAAAGGAAAGGAAGATAGACACACTAAGCTGTAAGATTGTTGGACAAAAAAATGTTCTTCCCTTAGCTCTCTGAGTACATGAGATACCCTCAGGGCTGGTGCAAGGATTTTTGAATCAATGCATCTCTATGAGGAAAGTTTAGTGTCTGCATGCAGAGGGAGGGGACACTGAATGTTTGGATTCATTTTAGGCAGCCATGACCCAGGAAGGATCTCTAACAGCTATATGAGGAGTGGCCAGTGAAGTTATCACTAGGCTGTAATGTAAACACTGCATTTTCTCTGAAAAGACTGTGTTAACAGCAAAAAGCCTGAAGGTAATGATTCTACTCACCAGAACAATTTCAATAAGCTGTAGTTGCTCTGGTGACTATAGTGTCCCTTTAAGCTGTAGTTCTTCTAGTGATTATAGTGGCACTTTAATGTGAGGTAAATTAGATATCAGTGCCACTAATAATATATTGGATTGCCTACTTACCACCAGATGAGGACAAGTGGATGATGATGGGCTCAGGCTGCAGTCTGGCTCCACAGGTCTTGTGTAGAAGAGGCTCACTGGAGACTGTTTGTAACAGTGCTCACAACAATTAACGAACAGGAAGCAGCTCCATTTTTATGGGAGCCTTACATAGCTCAAGGTCTGGGCCCCCAGGGCCTGACCGTGAGTATGCCTACAAGGCCCACTCATAAATCCACCTACATGGCCCACCCATGAGTTCTCTCACAGGGAGTGGAGTGTATGTGTGTAGGGGATGTGTTATGTGTTATTGTAGAGGATGTAAAGTAGTGTATAGGGATACCAGTTTGTGTACGGGATGTAGTGTGTGTATAGGGGATGCAGTGTGTGTTTGTGTGAAAAGAAAGCATTGTATGTTTCTGTGTGTGTGTGTGTGTGTGTGTGTGTGTGTGTAAGGGATGCAAGGTGTTTTTCTGTGTATATAATTTAATGCAGTGTGTGTCTATAAGAGGTACATTGAGTGTGTGTAAGAGATGCATTTTGTTTCTGTGTGTGTGCGTGTAAGGGATGCATTGTGTGTTTCGGTGTGTCTGTGTAAAAGAGAGGATTTGTGGGGTAGGATAGGGGCTGAGAGGAGAGCAGCTCTTTATTTTTTTATTTTTTTATAGTGCTCTCCCCTCCTGTCAATTAGTGATCTCCCCTTCTGTCCCTTAGTGCTCTCCCTTGGCCCCCTGTCCCTCTGCAGTCCCCCCTTGGGGGTCTTCTCACTCCCCCCCCCCTAGTGGTCATCCTCCCCTCCCTTAGTGGTCCTTCCCTCTCCCTCCCTCAGTGGTCCTTACCTTCTCCCCCCCCCCCCCTTAGTGCTCCTCCTCTCCCCCTCTCCGAAACCACTTAGTGGTCCTTACACTCTTCCCCCCCTTAGTGGTCCCTTCCCCCACCCCCTTAGGGGTCGTTATTTAAAAAAAAACGTAAAATAAAGTGTTGCGCTTAAATAAAATAGTTGTAAATTATTTAATAAGTGCAATAAAAAATTCTACACTTAACAATTTCTACCCTTAACAACAAAGTGCTTATATATGAATTCATTATTTTATGCTGCATAAAGTACCAAATAATTTCTGTTTTCAATGTGGAAAGTGCAACAAACACAGCATTAACATTTGAAAACGCACACATTTGTATAAGTGCTTATAGTGTAAGCGCCACCAAATAAAGTGCCTGTTAATGATTCATTCTGTAGATACTTAGCAATATTAGAACTTCCATTGGCGTTAAAAACCTCAAAGACAAAAATTAAAACACAATAGGGCAAAATGTATGATATAATGAGAAACATATTCCACCACAATCCCCTTAAAGTTCCCACTCACATGAACTAGAACCTAAAGTTTCGCACTATTTGCATGCCTTGGAGTCTTTATGGGAAACTACTTCCCTCTTGGCAGTAGTAGTATAAAATCGTTGGAAAGAGTGAAGACCTAAACTATCCCTTCAGTAAGCTTATAAGAATGGCTCCTGGGCACACAGCACCTCACAATCCGGCCAGTCCTACAACAAGCAACAACAGTCAGTTTTTCATCTTCCCTCCAGTGGTATATCCTGGTTTTGTGCTGCCCTAGGCAGGACAAAACTCAGGCACCCCCCGCGCTACCCCCACCCGCGCAACCGCCACCCAACCCTTCCCCCCTGCTCCGCCTTCTAAATACACACACACACATTCACTGACAGATACGCATTCACTAGCTAACAGAAACACACACTCACTCACTAACAGACACACTCACTCACTAACAGACACACACACTCACAGGCAAACACATACACTAACCGGGAAAACAAACACTCTCTAACAGACACACGCACACACTCACTAACAGACACACACACACACACACACACAAACAGGCAAACACACTAACAGACACACACTAACAGACACACACTAACAGGCAAACACACACACTAACAGACACACACACACACACACACACTAACAGACAGACACACACACATTAACAGACACACACTAACAGACTCACACACACTAACAGACACACACACACTGTTAGTGTGTGTGTGTGTCTGTTAGTGTGTGTGTGTCTGTTAGTGTTAGTGTCTGTTAGTGTGTGTGTATGTTAGTGTGTGTGTGTGTCTGTTAGTGTGTGTGTGAGTCTGTTACAGACACACACACTAACATACACACACTAACATACACACACACTAACAGACACACACACTAACAGACACTAACAGTAACAGACACACACACACTAACAGACACACACACACACATTAACATACACACACACACACACACACACTAACATACACACACACTAACAGACACACACTAACAGACACACACACACACACTAACAGACACACACACTAACATACACACACACACTAACACACACACACACACACTAACAGACACACACACACTAACATACACACACACACACACACTAACACACTCAATTGTGTTTTTTTTGTTTAACCCCCCAGCCTCCTTACCTTTGGGAATGCTGGGGTGGTTCTTTCTCTCCCTGGGGTCCTGGGGTCCAGTGGCTGCAGGGTGGCGCTGGGCGGCCGGCAAGGGAGCTCTTCCCCTAAGCGGTCTGCTCAGCTCCCTCGCGCGCCCCCAGCAGAGTGAGGCCTGGAGCCGGAAGATGACGTCATATTCTCAGGGGGAGAACTCCCTCGCCGGCCGCCCAGCATGTCTGTTAGCCGCGAGGCTAACTAAGCATTTGCCCTGGGCATTTGGGGGCGGCTTTTTTGCCGCCCCCTGAAGAATGCCACCCAAGGCAAATGCCTTGTTTGCCTCGTGGCTAATATGCCCCTGCTTCCCTCCCACTCAAGCTACACATAATTGAAACCTTCCGCCATTCCCAGGAAGATAGACCGCACTCAGAGTGTATATGTGTGTGTGTGCATGTGTGTGTGTATAAGCGTCTTACTGTGTATGTTTACACTAGCACCTGTGTAAACATCTGTGTTTGTGAGCTCATGTGCGTGCTAACACCTTGCCAATGGATGAGATTTGTTGGGGGTCCAACATACTAAACCTACCCCTCCAAATGTTAAGGGTAGTGCTCTTCATCTTTATATATGAAATATATTTCCCACAAACATTAAGTAATTATTTCAAAACTTTCATATTTTCTTATATATCATGTCAAACATATAAATTATAAAATACATAAATACAAAAACGATAAGGTCAATGCAAAATATGCAAATTTTATGTGTAGTTTTAAATGTATGTTTAAGTCAAAATCATTGTCATTGCTTCTTGGAATAGGTACCATACGAATAGATTTTATGAATGATTAAATTAACATTTAGATTCTTACATCTCTGGCCTTTTTCATGTTAGTGATATGTGCATCATTTAAAATTCATATAGTTGAAGCTAGCACATAAATATTATAGTATCGATCAGTCAGTGAACATGTAAAGGATTTCCTTTCATTTAAATACAGCTGCTATGTGATGGCATAATGTTTAACATTTTCATGAGAATTCTCCTAAAGATATGTATATGATAAGTGGTTCCCTTGTACAATAAAACACATCAATGATACACTTAAAATATTAAATTGAAAATTACTTTTAATAAAACATATATGAAGGCTAAAAATAAAACTGTTAGTGGCCACTATATATGCATATATATTAAATACACATACTTATACTTGATTTGTAGCAATAATTTGTATTACCATAATATTCTTTGTAAGACATGGCACTCTTCTTCTCGTATTGAAAAAGTTAATAAGGTTTCCTAGTTTGTAGCAAAATTGGGAGCACTTCAAACTGGGTTTTGGCCTTCTTTTATATCAACAGCAAACACAGATGTGATAAAGGCTGAACTTGATGGATGCATGTCTTTTTTCAGCCTATGCAACTATGTAACATAAATCATTGCACTGGCTTAATGTTTTAATTCAGAAAGTACTTAATAATTGAACATTTTCAAGTTGGAAAAAAGCACTGTGTAGAATACAGACAGAGTTCTGTCTTAGTCTATGCACAGGGCCGGCCTTAGGGGTGTGCGAGCTGTGCGGCCGCACAGGGTGCCGTGGAGCAGGGGGCGCCATGTGGCCGACACAGCTCACACATGACCGGCTACCCAGGTGGAGGATTACATTATTCTCCACCAGGAATTAGAAGAAAAAAAACTCCCAGCATTGTGATGGGGCGGAGCTTAAATGACGGCGGGTGGTGCTTAAATGACGGCGGGACGGAGCTAAAATGACGGCTGCATGGGAAGCAGGAAGGAGTCCCTGCTTCCCCAACAACCAGAGCTGCACTGCCTTCACTCCTCTCAGTCCATAAAGGACAGAGGTAATTCGGGATTATTCTAACTTTTAGTGACCGAATAATCTAAATATTATTAAAGACAGGAGGCTAATATTTACTTATCTTTCTTTACTGTAACTCCCAGCAGCAAAGAAGCAGTTAACAATCAGTGTAAAAAAGTTTAACCAATCAGCATGCATCACAGTAATATAAACTGCCATCAGGCTCCTCCCAATTCCTCTTTCTTGATGTAGCCGAACAGTCGTAGAGTCAACCATGTAAACGAAGAACCATTAGAACGATGAGTAGATAACGGTGTAAGTATCAGATAGGATGAAACAGTGCTCAACCCGTGGGGGAGACTTGAAACAGAGATGACAAGCGATCTTCACACTAGAAGGAAAGAGAAACATTGTGAAAGTATGGTCTCTTGGGCAAGAGAAAATCAAATTAAAATGCAATGAAACTAACGTCCAATTTAAGTGCAAGGTTTAACATATAATAATTAACTGTATGGTGTCTTGGGCAAGTGAAAACCAAATTAAAAATGCAATGAAACTAACGTCCAATTTGAATGCAAGCTTTAACATATAATAATTAACTGACGAGTATAGGCCAGAAAAGAAGTCGAGAGAATGCTAGCCACCTAGTTAGAGATGGAGGTACTAAGAGATACTTACCTATTAGGGTGGGTAAAGGTATTCAAGGGTGGGAAAATATTCGCCTCCTGTCTTTAATAAAATTTAGATTATTACTGACAGAAGCCGGACATATCCCCCATGACAGACAAACCCGGCCTACCGATTGACTTCCAGCAATAGGCTCCCTAAAACACTCTATGCCTTAGCCCATAGGCCCCACAACAGAGAACTTACTGTGCAAAAGCCAAAGGACCCCGAACTTTGAAGCATAGACTCCTAAGAGGCTCCCTATGACTGAAGTTTGCATTCCGCAACCGCCACTGCAGTACACTAGACCCTGGTATTAAAAGGGCACATGATAAATAACAAGTTTGTGGCGACAACTAACGCACGAATGGAGTACTAATGCCTAGTCTCTTACCACTGCTGACCGGGGCACAACCGGGAACACTACAGTGGGGAGACGACCAAAAATCCCCAACACAGCAGAGGTCAGGCTATACCCTCTCTAGCTACCTGACGAGGCTACGGCCGCAGACCTGAACACTAGCTGGTACAATGGCTAGAGCCAACTGTTTGAATGGTGTGGGTTAGCAGCACAGTTCCCCTTCCCCTTTCCCCCTTTCTATGCATTATTCAAATGTTGATACTGATACAGATACAATGTACAACAACCAACTGTTACTTGTTTCTTCAAATGAAAAAGATACTAAATAAAGATTGTCAAAACATTTTTTAGATTATTCGGTCACTAAAAATTAGAATAATTCAGAATTTTATGGCAAGACAGGAGGCTTCATATTTGCTATTTTAACGCGTAGATAGCATGGACAAAGAAGCGTGTGGAGAATGTCTAAAATAAAAGGTACAGAAAGTGGATTCTCTAGACCAATCAGCGGAGGACAGAATCTCTGCCAGGGAAGCTACAGCTATAAATACAGAGGAGGAGGCCGCGCCTCTAACCAAATGAGCCCCGAAAGACGCATCAATGCCAGCCAGAGCTAGTAGCCATTTAATCCACCGAGCAATAGTAGGGCACAAGACTGGTTTGTGTGGTTGCACATAAGACACAAGGAGGGGCCCAGTAGGTGCCCTAAGAGGGGTAGTGCAAGAGATTACGCAATGGGCTACGCAGAGAAGGGGTTTCTCCGAAAAATAGGGATAGCTCACTGTAGATGAATTGGTCTTGGTGCGTCTAGTGATGTGAAAGTGCACTCCTTCTGGTGTGAAATCGAGGGCATGAAAGTCGAAAGCCCTGATGTCGGAGACTCTTTGGAAGGAGACTAAGCAAAGGAGGAGAGCTAATTTGGCTTACAATTGGCGTAGGGAGAGCGCCTCGTTGTCCGGCCAAGCTTCTAAAAAAAGTGAGCATGAGGGCCACGTCCCAGAATTGATTATATTTGGGAGCTGGAGGTCTAGCAATGCGGATGCCCTGCAAGAGTCTACACACAGAAGGGTGTTTGCCTACTGAAGAACTTTCAATAGGAACGTGCGCTGAAGAAATAGCGGATCGAAACACGTTAATAGTCTGGTAGGATTTACCCTGATGACACATCTGACATACACTTTTGTTGGCTGCAGACCATAACTAGCTGTCTTCCTAGTAGTGATGTCCCGAACGGTTCGCTGGCGAATAGTTCCTGGCAAACATAGCGTGTTCGCGTTCGCCACGGATGGCGAACATATGCGATGTTCAGTCCGCTCCCTATTAATTTACTAATACTAAGTAAAAACTACTTAGTATTAGTAAATTGTGCCCCTACTTGCAATACCACGAGTAGGGGCATGTCTATTAAACAGTGAGCAGCTTGTGGCTGCTCACTGTTTAAAAAAAAAAGGGTCCCCCCCCAGTGGGGGCCATAAATACTAATAGGGGGGGGACCTATTGTCCTCCCCCGGCCCCCACCCCTGAGTGGTGGGTGGGGGCCCTAATAACAATAAGGGGGGGACCTATTGTCCTTCCCCTGGCCCCCACCGCTGAGCGGTGGATGGGGGCCCTAAAAATAACAATAAGGGGGGACCTATTGTCCCCCCCCGGCCCCCACCCGTGAGCGGTGGGTGGGGGCCCTAAAATGAACAATAAGGGGGGGACCTATTGTCCCCCCCTGCCCCCACCCCTGCGCGGCGGGTGGGGGCAATATTGATAATGAGGGGGGACTTACTGTCCACCCCCCTCTGGCCCCCACCCCTGGGCGGCGGGTGGGGCCATAAAGATAATGAGGGGGGGGACCTACTGTCCTCCCCCCCGGCCCCCACCCCTGGGCTGCGGGTGGGGGCCCTAAGTA